TGTAGCTTCCTGAAAAGGTGGACATAGACTCTACTCTTTCCCTACTCCACCAGAACCACTCCCTACTGCTAATGCTGTCCCTGACAGGTTAACCTGTCCCTACGCTAGCCACTCACATAAAGCGGGCCAAAACCTGGGGGCAGGGAGTTAAAAAGACTCTGCCTGACCCAAGATGGCTGCCTGGGTCACCTGGGTCCAGCTCATCCAACTAGATCACTGAGGAAACCATAGAGCAGTGGTGTCAAACTCCATTCCAACGCGAGCCATATCAGCATTATGGTTGCCCTCAAAGGGCCGGTTGTATATGTAAGACTAGATGTCTAGAGCACCCTACCCCCCCCCCCCCCCCATTATGTCAGATGTCAAGAATCCCACACCCTCCCTAACATCACTGTGCATCCCCTTTGGGGGCAGAGCTGGAAAGCAGAAAGTGCAGGGTCTGGAGGAGGACCAGAGGAGGAGTGGAGTCAGTTATCAGAGTCTGCTGAATGCTGAGACCAGGGGAGGCAGAGATGAGGGGGTGTTGCAGCTGCACTAAGAGGTGCAGTATATGGCAGAGGAGTTCTATTATCCTCTCTGCTGCCGACTGCTGGGACAAGGTGGGGGCGGAGACAAGGGGGTACCTGCAGGAGAGGTGCAAGGGCCGCATGAAATTACCTGGAGGGCCAGTTTGGCCCGCGGGCCTTGTGTTTGACACCTGTGCCATAGAGGAACCCAGTTTCACTCAAGCTCCTCCTCCAGCTACGTTCGAGCGCCACCTGCAGTGGAGAATGTAGACTGCACCCACCTACATGGAATTAAAAGAAAAAATGTTTTAAACCAGTTAGTTTGCCAAAAGGCAGTAATAATGAAACTGCATCTGTATTGCTGCAAGCCCTTCGGTTAGCGAAGAAATCCATCGTAGGAACGTTCCAGATAAGATGTATTGTTTTATATGCTCATTATTAGCGCCAACTGTTAGGTTCCACCTCATTTATTTTTATTATACAAGATTTATATAGCGCCAACAATTTGTGCAGCACTTTACCACACAAAGGGAGACAGTAACAATACAATTCAATACACAAGGGTTGGGAGCCATCACCATCCAGCAGGAGTTACTGGATTGGAAACAAGTCATGCTTGACCACACAGCATACAGTCACCTTAAATGGCTGTAATTGGTGTACATTGTGTGTGGCAGATAACCCCCCCCATGTGGAATGCTTGGTGGGATTGATTCAGGAGCTTGCAAAGCAGTGGTGGAGAACCTACTAGTCTATGGGTCTTCCACAGGCCTGTGCATTACATCACTAATTCGATTGGCACATGACAGAAGAATCCAATATTCTGTATGTTATTTGTGATAATGGTGTCACTAATGGCCCGCATCAGTAGGACTTCTACTGTCCAGATGTAAACCCTAAGGGCTCATACACACTACTCTGCACACGTTATGCTCCATCTAACCACGGCACCACCTGCCTGGAGTTTGCATGTTCTCCCTGTGCCTGCGTGGGTTTCCCCCAGGTACTCCAGTTTCCTCCCACACTCCAAAGACATGCTGGTAGGTGAGTTGGCTCCTGTCTAAATTGTCCCTAGTATGTGTATGTATGAATGTGAGTTAGAGGCCTTAGATTGTACACCCCTTGAGGATTAGGGACTGATGTGAATGTACAATATATATGTAAAGCGCTACGTAAATTGATGTAAGTACCTGAAATAAATAAATATAATGCATGCATGTTGGTGTGTTGTACAGAGCGGTACCTGAGCCATGCCTGAGCTCATCCCTAATCACCAGGTTTTATTTTAATGTAAAATGCAGATTAAAGATCCTTTCACAATAGCGGCTGTGTTTAATATCCTCCTGAAAAACGATTAGTGGGGGATCACTTTTCAGAGGAAAGTGAAAGGTAGTGTACAGGCATTCAGGAGACTATACTGATGCCGCCTGATGCCTGTTTATTTTTTTATTATTATTTTTTTTTTTTTGGTGAACAGCAATTCTGTATCGTGGGAATGTACCATAACTGCAAGCCAAGCATTTGGCTCACAGTTGCTCAATTCACTTACATGGGAGAGTTTGGACATGTGGGGGGTTATTTACTAAAACTGGAGAGTTTGAAATCTGGTGCAGACCTGCATAGAAGCCAATCAGCTTCCAGGTTTTATTGCCAAAGCTTAACTGAACAAGCTAAACTAATACCCCGTACACACGATAAGAAAATCGTATGAAAAATTTTGCGGAACCACTGATCGAACGATTTTCTCTTCGTTGATGAGCAGGATGTTTTAACTGATAACGATATTGTGAACGAAAAAATCCGGTTGAACAACAGTGAAAAATGTTGTCGTTTTGCATACAAACGACTGATTTTCTATGCGGTGGTATGACGGTCATACGATAAAAAATCTATCAAGCGCTATCACGCATGAGTGGAAACAGTAGATGACCCGGATGTTTATGTCCAAGGAATCTTCGTAAACACGAACGAAAAATCCAAATGTTAAAAGTAGATTGGCCTAATGCAGTGGTTCTCAACCTTCCTAATGCCGTGACCCTTTAATACAGTTCCTCATGTTTTGGTGACCCCAAACCCTATAATTATTTACCCAGTAATTATAATTCATGAAGTGTCATTTTACCTCCAATACTGCTGCTTTCTACACAGTAGCTGCTTTCAACACAGTAGCTGGTTTCAACACAGTAGCTGCTTTCTACGCAGTAGCTGCTTTCAACACAGTAGCTGCTCTCTACAAAGTAGCTGCTTTCAACACAGCAGCTGCTTCCAACACAGAAGCTGCTTTCTACACAGTAGCTGCTTCCAACACAGTAGCTGCTTTCTACACAGTAGCTGCTTTCAACACAGTAGCTGCTTTCTACACAGTAGCTGCTTTCAACAGAGTAGCTGCTTTCAACACACAGCAGCTGCTTTCAACACAGCAGCTGCTTTCTACACAGTATAATATATGTGTTTTCCGATGGTCTTAGGTGACCCCTGTGAAAGTGTCGTTCGACCCCCAAAGGGGTCGCGACCCACAGGTTGAGAACCACTGGCCTAATGAGATAACAAAACCAGAATTCTGCAGATTATATTTTATGTATCACTATTTATGTATATAGATAATGTAATAAACGATATTATACTCATTACTGGTAATTGTTGTGTATATCGCTCGTTCTGGCCGGCGTGGCTACAAGATCACACGCACACTGCATCACTTCCACTTGTACAGAAGACGTCAACACTACATATTGCCCGGCGAACGATTTTTTTAGATTGGTTAATGTCCGCCACGATTTCAACCGATGAACAAACGCCTCTTGGTCGTCGAGTGACCAATCAGTTGATTTTCTAATTGTGTATTCCCACTTTAGGCTGGCCATACATTATACAATTTTGCTTTAGATTTACCAAAAACCATATAATAGGAGGTCAAACCTAACAACACTTTCAATTGTATCCAATTAGGCAGACCCTTGCACTACATAGTTGAAGGTAAATCTAAAGGAAATTGGGCAGAAATTGGACAGAAAATTGTATAGTGTATGGCCAGCCTCAGAAGATGATTATCTACCATGCACAGCTGCACCAGATTCTGAGCGCTCCAGTTTCAGCAAATCTGTCACCTGTCAAACTCTGCATGTAGCATTAAAATTTCCATGTCACGATGCAAACCATTGCAGCTGTGGGAATGTGTGCACACCCAAGGGGCACCATGTTTGCTTGTTGGTGGGCAGTAAAAACACAGATTACCCACCTGTTTTTACCACCCCCTGGCCCCTTGTGTGAATGGAGCCTTAAAAAGATTGAATATGACATTTAAAATAACATTTACATAGTAAAGCCTATAAGGATTTTAGCATTCAAATGTACTTTAATTTCATATCTGGGCAACCCCCCCCCCCCTCATATTCAATAAATTTCTGCAATTTCTGCATATTCCCCCTTTTTTGTCTTCAAGAAAGTACAGAAAAATGATATCCTGCCGTCAGCTCACCGCACTGCTTTTGCTGCACTGAAGTCCCAAGTTGGTTATGAATTGAAGATTGACACCGTGAGGCGTATACAATCAGGAACAGCCAATAAGGAGTGTGGCAGCACTGATAGGACCACAGGACCACATGTGACCGGAGGACCGCCAGCTCAGCCCCAAAGCTGTAGAAATTCTGGATTTTTTTGCTTAATCAAATAATGAGATTCAATAACAAATAACACAGGTAAATTAGAAACAAGCTTTATAATAGCGGGAAATGGTTTTATCCACTCAAATATCTGCTAATGAATTGTCAAACTTTGAAATCGAGAAATTTACCCCCCCCTAAACTCTAGGAATGTTTTTTTTTTTTTAAATTACATTGGTCCAGTTTGGTTTCATCTAAAGCCAACTATGGCCAGATGCGGCCCTTTGCTTGCTTCTATCTAGCCCTTGGAGCTCTACTTCATCCACTGACACCAACAATGGGGCATGATTCCCTCCACTGACACCAATGAAAGGACGCCATTCCTCCCAATGACACCAATGTTGGGGCACTATTCCTCCCAATGACACCAATGATGGGGCACTATTCCTCCCAATGATACCAATGCCGCCATTTCTCCCAATGACACCAATGAAAGGACGCCATTCCTCCCAATGACACCAATGATGGGGCACTATTCCTCCAAATGACACCAATGATGGGGCACTATTCCTCCCAATGACACCAATGATGGGGCACTATTCCTCCCATGACACCAATGATGGGGCACAGTTCTACCCCATGACACCAACAATTGGGCCCAGTAACACAAATGATGGGGCACAACTCCTCCCAATGACACGAATGATGGAGCAAGATTTCCCAATGACACAACGATGGGGTACAGTTACTCTCATTAGCACCAAAAATGGGACATTGTTTGCTCACACGGATCCTGGGACATTTTCTCCTCCCAATGTCCGCAGTCCAGTCCCCCTAAAGTCTGAAGGACAGTAAACTGGCCCTTTGTATATAAAGTTTGGAGACCCTTCATCTAAGGCATGGGTGCTCAACCTATGGCTCTCCAACTATTTTGGAACTACAAAACTCATCATGCCTCTGCCTGTGGGAGTCATGCTTACAACTGTCAGCCTTGCAATGCCTCATGGGACTTGGGATAGTGGGATAGTTTCAGACAGCTGGAGGGCCACAGGTTGAGCACACATGATCTAAGGCCTCATTCGCATGGGGTGTACTCAGGGCTTTTTGGGGGGGAGAACTCAGTTCCAGCACCTCCAGCACTGAATGTATGTTTTGGCAATCGGTGGAGTGATTGGGGGATCTATAATAACTAGGGGATCCAGGGGCTGACAACTCATGGGGCCCCCGGGCAATAGGGGATCATAAGGCCCCTGTGTCCTTGCCCAAACTCAAAAAAGCCTATGAAAAATGTACCAGGGGCATCTCATGGGGCCCCCCTACTGACCCCGGGCACTCGGGCACTGCCCGAGTTTCCAAATGGTCAGTCCACCCCTGAGGGGATCTATTGTTGGGGGGGGGGAAATGTTGTTGCTGGGGATGTCTATTGTCTCTGGTTGGATGATCTATTGTTGCTAGTGGGGAGTTAATTGTTGTTGGGAGAGATTTATTGTTGGGGGAGGGTTCTATTGTTGTTGGGGGTGGATCTATTGTTATGGGTATTTTGTTGCATGTATGTGTGCGTGTGTAGGGGGCTCTATTATTGCTGTGGATCTATTTTTGCTGTGGGGTCTGTTGTTGGGAGGGATTTATTTTTGGGGGAGGGGTCTATTGTTGCTGGGGTGAATCTATTGTTATGGGGGTATTTTGTTGCGTTTGTGTGTGTGTAGGGGGCTCTATTATTGCGGTGGATCTATTGTTGCAGTGGGGTCTATTGTTGTTGTTGTTGTGGGACTATTGTTGCTGATGGGGTCTGTTGTTGCTGGGATCTATTATACTTGATTCTGTTATCTCTAAAAGGGGTAGTACTGGGAAGGAGGTAGGGGGTGGAAACAAGGGGCCATGCTCAGAGGTGGGTAGTGGAGGAGACAAGGTGTGACTTGGAAGGGGGTAGTTCCTGCACTTATTTTCTGGACGTACCACATGATCTGCCTCTTGCCCAAGCTCAGGGGTATTATATGTTACTCAGTCTGGACTGCTGGAGGAGGATAAAACTGTCCGATAACAAAGTCTTTCCTTTTCTGATACATATTCAGCTATCAAATGTCAACATTTTCAGCAGACAGGAGTCTGCCTCCAGAAATACTTCTATGTGTATGGCTATAACTGGCAGGTGCTGCGATAATGTCCATATAATGATTAGAAAAAAAAAAAATATGAATATTATGCCATGAATCTTCTACAGTAGCCATAGCTGTATTTTGTCCAAATGAGTCCAGGGATATCTCTTGGAAGTGAGCTTTGAGAAATGAACTGTTAGTCCTTGTACAGAAAATCATCATCTGGTCCTAGAGAATGGGAGCAGGCACTACATTTTTAATTATAGGTTGCAGTGCCATCTAGTGGAATATTTGCTGATAGCAACAATGTATGTTTAATTATTCCATTAATTCAGGAAAAGTGAAATAAACAAAATTCAAGGACAACTGGCAACTTATTTGATTTACTATAAAGCCTGTAAAGCTATATGATAATGTTTTATGGTATTTTTTTTTTAATTTTAAGCCTTTTTCTTAAAGAAATATATAGGCTGCCCTTATTGATTTCTATTATTAGAAAATGTTAAGGTGCGGTAATGCTTTGACATGAGCTGGTGCATATAAGTAAATAACTTTCCAGCAACAGTGTGCAGAAAACACATTATGGGAGTGTTAGCATAATGTCTATCTGACTGATGTACTGTATATTTGTCACTTTGACATTGTACAAGGCCTCTTACTAGTGTACTTTAGGCCATTCAGATCTATGCTCTGCTGTAATGTGCCGTATATATGTGTTGCAAAGTCATTCACTTTTATTGGCACCCCAACTCACTACTACAATGCATCCCAGAGATCCTAGATTGTAAGCTCGAAAGAGCAGGGCCCTCGAATCCCTCGTGTATTGTATTGTTTCTGTCTTGTCTCATGTACTGTCCCCCCTGCTATTGTACAGCGCTGAGCAAACCCTTTGGCGCTACATAAATACTGTATAATAATAATAATACTAACATTGGAGCACACCACAATGCACACTAATGCACTGTAATGCACTGTTGTTTGCTACATAAAAAAGTATAATTTTCACTTTGTTTTGTGTGTTGGCAACCTGTTTCTATACACAGTGCATGTTAAAGCTTGTTTGTTAAAGCCCTGCAATCAGTGCTGGGACAAAGTTACCTAGTGCCCAAACTGAGCCCCCCCAAGATGTATGAGCCTTATATGTCATCAAAAATCCCCCCTTCCCCCCAAAAATCAAGCACTAATCTGAACACTAACCCCCTAAGCCAGGGGTGGGCAACTGTGGCCCTCCAGCTGCTGTAGAACTGCAAGTTCCATGAGGCATTGCAAAACTGAAAGTTACAAACATGACTCCCAAAGGCAGAGGCATGATGGGACTTGTAGTTCACCAACAGCTGGAGGGCCACAGTTGCCTACCTCTGCCCTAAGCATATATTCCCCATGCAAGCCAAAATGCTCCCCAAACCAAAATTCCACCTATTCCCAGTATAAATCCACACCCTGCTGAAATCCTCCCTCCCAGCACAAATGTTCAATCCCCCCCAGGTTTCCTTATCTGCTCTTGGCTGGGACGAGATGGAGGCAGGTAAGAAAACCCTGCACAGTCCCAGTATGATAGTCAAGATGCAGGAGCACTGCAGTGGCAGGAAAAGCAGCTGGAGGGGAGAGAGCACAGCTCGCACCTCCTCCTGGATCTTTTCAGCTCTTTTGATTCTGCTTGTCACTTTCTGCACTAAGCTGACAGGAGTAGTGATGCTGTTGTACAGCTCTGCCTGATGAAAGAGTGTGCAGGGTGACGCTTGTCCCGCGCATGTGCAGAAACACGTCGCACATTGATGACATCAGGCGCCAAACGTGACTGACCTCGGACATCTTGGAGACTCTGCCAGGCTTCACCACCTTTGCTTCTCATACACAACACCATCTGCTGGCGGACCTAGGCTGTCTCTTTCTGGTACTGTCACCCAACATCTGGCTATAGGACGTTTTACCTCTCCACTACATGAGCCTGTTTTTAATTTCTAAGATGTGAGTTACTACTTATCTTCTTATTAAATACTATTACAGTACACACTTAAAGGCGCTGTGTTCCTTTGTGGTGATGCTGTTGTCACTGTTGGTTATGTGTTATAGAAGACACTGGTAGTGATGAGGCAGAAGTATGACTTTACTTGTGTGGCTTAAGTTGCAAACATACAGAGCACATTTTTCAGCAGACAGATTACTTCCTGAAGATGATAGAGAAGAGAAAGAACCAACAAGTTTTCAGATATACACAACTAGTAACCTTTAGTGTATAGTGCCATCTACTGGTCAAGTAATATTAACACACAATACTATATATAGTACATTATAGTACATGCTGTTGCATTCCCAACAGTCACTACTCTTGTCACATTGTAGTGGCAGGAACTCTTCAAGTTGTGCCCCCCACCTCACATGATACCACGGCGCCCAGAGCAGTCGCCCCTCCTGCTAAGCCCTTGTCCTGGCCCTGACCGCAACACAGCATATGGATCTGAATGGGTTGTTTAAAAAAAAATATATATCAATATGTACATTTCACAGAGTGTATGTAATCTGTTGTATTAAAGTATAACTGGTTTGTAAAATAAAAAAGGGATATTGATACTTTATCCCTAGTTCACAATGAATGCGACTTTGAAATCACACTACTTCACTTGGAGTAGCGCAATTTCAAAGCCGCATGACTTCATGCACAGATGTCTACGCAAGTTGCACATAAAATTGCAAAAAATAGCACAGGGACCTTTTTGCCAAATAAGTGGGGCACCCAATGCCGTACAGATTTGAACGACTCCATAGGCGACTTGTCATTAGATTTGGAACTGTCATATTGTATGACAAGGCACACCAGTGTGAAGCAAGGCTTAGAGTCCTTATGAAGCAGAGGGTCCTCTGAACAACAGAGTCATATAAGGGAATCTCATGGCTGTTTGACTACTTTGAACTCTGTGAAGGGCAATCGGCTATAAAATGCCCTGACAAATTATGTTTTCTAACTATTTATGACATGTGAACAATTTTCTTTAAACAACTGTTCATTTTTGTGTAAATAAAATTAGATTTTTAAAAGTATATTTTTGTTGTGTTCATTTTGATGTGATAGGTGTTGACAAATAAATCCTAGAAGATTGGTGTCAGACGATATATGCTATTCAATTGGGAGGTCAACACTATCACTAGAAGGTATACGGTCCTCACTGCCAGGGGCGGACTGACAACTCATGGGGCCCCCGGGCAATAGGGGATTATGGGGCCCCTGTGTCCTTGCCCAAACTCAAAAAAGCCTATGAAAAAGGTACCAGGGGCATCTCATGGGGCCCCCTACTGCCCCCGGGCCCTCGGGCAATGCCCAAGTTTCCAAATGGTCAGTCCGCCCCTGGACACTGCCATTTTACTGTTAGTTAAAATACGTAAATACTAGCTACATGGCTCATTTGGCACAGGTACTATTAAACAGTTTATTCTGTCCTGAACTGAAGAGAGTAATAATCTCTTATTTTATATTATTACCATAGATCTAGAATCTAACTGGATGACTGGATTTACCAAAGCTCTGTGTTTCATAAACAATTGCCATTTAGTTTTTTGTAAAATAATGAATTCACCTTTTTTTCAATATTTTTTGTATCTAAGCGCTGCTGATCTCCTCAAGCCTCTTGAAGCCACTTTGTCTCGATGCATTCACTCCTTTGTCAACATTGCCCTCAAGTTGCTTCCTAATAGTGACAATAGTAGACCATGCCTGCACAAGGTGTATCAGAATGGCCACTTGCAGTCTCCACCAGGGGCATATATGACTGGGTGACAATGCATGAGAACAATTTGAAGACAAGGAGCTGGTGTTGTCACCTCGTAACAGGAAGTGCCTAAACATGGACCTTCATGGCAGGATCAAGGGTATTCTTCAAATCTAAGTTCCAGGAAAACTACAGTTAAGTAATAAAACTAGGTCTAATTCTTCCCTCAGCTGGTGACTGGGCAATGAACAAGAAGCAGCAGACTGATGAGCTCCTGTCTCTGCCACTCTGATCTCTCTCTTTGTAAGCACTGAAGCACAGCTGATTGGCTACTTGTGCTGCTTTTTCCTCTCCCAGCTGGAAATCGGTTATATAGCAAATTGCCAGAAGCAGATATCACATAAAATTCAGGTCCTTATTAAAGAAGAGTTTAGTTTTGGGCTTAGCCAAGAAAGAAGCTGTCAGTGCTGACCCAATCAGCTGCATCTGGAGCATTCCCTGCCCTGCAACTGCACATAAACAAAGGGGGGGGGGGGGTGCAGGGGCGGACTGACAACTCAGGGGGCCCCCGGGCAATAGGGGATCATGGGGTGCCAGGGGCATTTCATGGGGCCCCCTACTGACCCTGGGCCCTCGGGCAGTGCCCAAATGCTCGAATAGTCAGTCCGCTCCTGGGGGGATGCATGTGACATCTATGACCTAATATGGCTGCATGGCCATGTGGTCATATTAGGTTATTGAGGGCATATTCCTGCCCCTTTGTGCAGGCACAGCTGATATGGCCAGCATTAACAGCTTCCTTCCTGGTTTAGACCGCCTTGCACCCAGCTTGAGAGCCTTCGTCAGAGAACTGCTTCCAAGCATCTGGGACACAAGACCAAGGTATTATAGCTTAGCTTTGCACCCAAAGACTAGACGACAGTAGCTTAGGTGCAACTGGAACAGAAATACTGGTTTTTATACACTTCAGAAATAGGGGCAGTCCCCACATGAACAATAAAAACAAATATTACACATTAGGATAAACAAAATAACGAGGTAAAGTTGACAGAAGACTAATCCCATCATGAAGGAACCTCTAGGAGGGCTAGCCAACAGACAGAAACAATAGTTGACTCAATTAGCTCAATTAACAATGGAACAAATACACAATGGTAAACACATAACACCTTAATAAACAGATTACAGTAAGAGACTTCAGCATCAGGTTGTTTTGAGCTGATTATATTAACATCTGCTTAGAGTCTGAGTCTAGGAGGGGCATTGAAGCAGTCAATGCTTGTTTGGGCAGAGAGACTCCAAATCTGTATCCTGGTCCTCCATTTCTCAGAGTCTGTGTGTTTTTGGGAGACATGGACTTGAATCCAAAGTAAAACTACTCTAAAAGGTCCCCAGGCACATTCCTCCCAAAGATTAGAATCCCCTCAAATGCCAAGGCCCATAGTCAGTAGGCAAGAGGCTATCCTGCAGTCTCCTCCCAAAACCCCTGTCCAGGTTGCGCTCGCCACACCAAGTTCATCTCTAGCTTTCATTGGTTGCTTTTAACCACTTCCTGTCCGGACACTTTTACCCCCTTCCTGTCCAGGGCAATTTTCAGCTTTCAGCGCTATCACACTTTGAATAACAATTGCGCGGTCATGCAACACTGTACCCATATGAATTTTTTATCATTTTTTTTTGAGACAGATAAAGCTTTATTTTGGTGGTATTTATTCACTGCTGGGATTTTTATTTTTTTTGCTATGTAAATGAAAAAGTCCAAAAATTTAGAAAAAAAGTGTTTTTCTTATAAAACTTTGCAAATAAATAATCTTTCATCATAAATCTTGGCCAAAATGTATTCCGTTATCTTTTTAGTAAAAAAAAAAAAAAATAAGCCAAATTAGTTTATAACCAACAATTATAATTTTTAAACATTTTTTTTTACATTTTTATTTTATTTTTTTATATTATTATTTATGTTTTTTTTTACATACTGTCACCCTAGCAGTACATTGTCACCATGGTGACACTGTACTACTTGTGGGGGGTGATGAAGATTTTGTTTTTTATTTTTACAGTGATTGCTTTTACACCCATATAGGATGTAAAAGCAATCATTTCTCTTTCTCTCTGTCTGCATTCTTGCAGCCATTGAGAAATACTGAGTGAGCTGTGATTGGTCACAGCTTGTCACATGGTACAAGGCTGTTGTGAATAGCCTTGTACCATGTGACCTCTGTGATCATTCACAGATTTCACACGTAGTAAGCAATGATGTCACAAGTGACATCTTGCTTACTACTTTGCATGTGATCACTGATTGGCCTATCAGTGATCACATGATCGGGAGCTCACACGGAGGTCCCGTCCGACGATCGGTGTTTCACTGTGTCCGAAGGACACAGCAGGCACCAGATCGCGGTGCTGCTTGTTCCAAGGGAGCGCGCACAGCTAGAAATGGCGGGTGCCGTTTATGAACGGCAACCTGCCCCTGGAGTGCCACCGTCCTGCCGTTTATAAACAGCAGGCGGATGGAAAGTGGTTAATAGATACTTAAATGGTAACTCTACTTTTTTGAGAATAAAAATCAATCCCTTCTGGGTGATTAATGTACATTGCAGGCATTTGAACAAACTTTCCTGCAGATTCTGACCTGTTTTGGAAATGGAGGAAAAGCTATGCAGTTTGGGTTTGATCTGTGTCTGCAGTGCTTTTTTGGTGAGTTTTG